CTACACTAAGCGTCTCTCTCAGTATAACATATGCCAGTTTATCGAGAATGAGGGTGTAGATTGAGACGTTGATTCATTGTTGCCGATAGCACATCTACATTCGTTGCCACGTGAACGTACAGTATCATTCAACTCTGATTCAGGGCTGTCGATTCAAGGGCATTTGCCCTTAATGCCCTGAACATTCCGGGTTACGTTCGGCGCAGCTCGGCCATTTCAAGGGCTCGATTCGACCGACACCCTTGCCAGTTAAGGGCATCGTTTGGCCCTTCCCCGGACTCGTTAAGTGCTCAATGTGGGCCGTCCCCTGAATCTAAGTTTACTTTCAGTTCCTGAGGAACCCCCCCCCCCCCCCAATCCTAAGGGCGCCCCGTCCCGTGACCCCCCCCTTCTTTTACCCCCTTTCCATGAAAGTTGCACGTGAGCGCGCCAGGTGGAGGATGTTTCAATTCAATTCAATCGATTTCTAACCGATCCAGTGTGTGAGTAGTGTCGAAGTCAGCATAGTGACAGTCAACCTCTCCTTCAGCATCCAATACGAGCTGCCGCACTAGTGACAGCTGGTACAAACTTGTGTGTGAATGAACTTGGCAAATTTGTTAGAGTTGAGAGAACTCCAACACTGCACTAGCACCAGGGACAGCTTCGCACAGGAAACTGTCTAGCACTGCATCTTTCACTCATCCTACCGAATCAACCAAACCAAACACTCAGTCGAGCAAACCTCGCCTCACCTCACCTCCTCTCCTCACCTCACCTCACTCGCATCGCATCGCATGCCATGGTTTATATTTTAGGTTGCTACAGATCTTGGTCCCCCATCATCCCTACCCAGCCATGGAGCCTAGCGATGGTGAACCCCCCTCTCCTGCTTCAAGTGACCGAGCTGCTTTCCCCTCAACAAGTAGTTCGCATAGTGGAGACACTGAGATTCTCAGCCTTCAGCATGAGCAAGAAGCGACAGACGATGGTGACATGCTCGAAGTCAACACCACCGTCTCAAACACGCTGCTCAATCAGTAGAGCTCATCGTCGTCCCAATCGACGCCTAGGGCACGTACCCGCTTTTGTCAGGCGTGTCTTGGATTCGCGGATCCACCTTCAGACACCAGGAAACGCGTTCGTAGCCACCCGCCGCCACCTACTGCCGAGGATTTAGAAGCACTGGACAAGGATATCGAAGCCTAAGCAGAGGTTCTCGAGGACATGAAGATCCCTGAGCGCGAAAAAAGCTCTTCCCTGTCGCTACAACAAGAACTGGAAGGCGACCTATCCGTGGCTGAGCCTGAAGTATCACGAAAAGCAACGAATGTACGGTATGCAATGTTCTGCATGCTCTACATTCGCTCCAAACACCGAGTCTCCTTTCGGTCATTGTGGCGCCGGCGTGAGGGACTTTCAGAAGTCGGCGTGCCGCAACCACGACTTGTCGATGTCAAACTCATATGCTATAGTCTGTGTCGGCTGTAGTGGGGTAGACAATATGGGGTACAACACTTTTAGGTTTTCCTACTTGTACCCACTTGCTTTCTAGTTCATTCATTCCTCATTCTTCACATGGTATAGAGCAGGTTCCCTAGTGGGAACGCTTCCTTGGGCCCACCACTGAAATTTTCCTGGGGGTGCTGATCTGCTCGTGTGGCCGCTCGCGGTGCTTTGTTGAGGCGGGAGCCACTCTCTCCACAGGAGCTGCGCGAGTGGTTTGCCCGACGCTGGAGCCGTGCTGCTGGAGCTGGAGGTAATACTGTTAATGCTGGTCCCGGAGGTACTCGTACTGGCGGTGGTGGAGCTGCTAGGACAAGGGGTGCTGCTGGGGCTGCTGGGGCTGCAGGAGTTGGTCCTGCTGGAGGTACTGCTGGAGCTGCTGGCGGTACTGTAGCTGCCGGTCGTGCTGGAGCTGGAGCTGCTGAGGGTGTTGGCGCTGGTGGTTCTGCTAGCGCTGGTGCTTCTACGGGTGCTGGAGGTGGCGCTGTTGGAGCTGGAGGTACTGCTGGCGCTGGTGCTACCGCTGGGGGTACTGGTGCTGTCCCTGCTGGTTCTGGAGACGCTACGCGGCCGCGGCCGTACTTTGTTCCGCTCCTCGAGCAGGTTCTTGGTCTCCCGCCCTCCACTGTTCCTGCTCCTCCCTTAGAGAGTCCGCAGCCTGTCCAGTCACAGTCAGTTACAGCCCGCCTCCCCTCTTCCTGCTCCTTCTTCCTACACTGGTCCCATTAGAGGTCTTGCTGAGCGTCGTGGGCCTGCGTCTCGTCCTGCGTCGCCTGTTCGTGCTGCTCGCACTAGTTGCCATGCTCCGCGTCCTCATGCGGTCCCAGGCACACACCAGATGGCACTGCGTCCTTCCACTGCTCCTCTGCGTGTCCTGTTGCCGTCTCCTCCAGAGTCCTCTCTTCCTGTTCTTGCTGACCCTGAGTCTGACTCTCTTCGTCCTGCCAATCCTACTGTCACGCGTCTCCTTGCTACTGTTGTCACTGACCCTTCCTTTGAGTCCACTGTTGCGTCAACCTTAATGGTTGAGCTTGTCGACTTTGCTGCTCGCTGTCGTCTCGACTACGCCGCTGGTCTTGTTGCTGAGTCTGAGTCTGTCTGTCCTCCGTCCTTCGGGGGTGAGTGTGCTCTGAGCACGGACGTCTTTGAGGACAGGCAGGAGGAGCTCCAGTGTTTGGCTGCTGCTTCACCTCATCTCGTGTCCGTACTGCTTACCCCTGAGGGAGACCCGGATGCACTTGACATCCCGACTCCGCGCTCTTACGCGGAGGCGATAGAGGGTCCCCACTCCTCTCAGTGGCAGTCAGCCATGGACGCAGAGATGGCTTCCTTGAAGTCCACAGGCACCTACGTCGACAAGGTTCCCCCACCTGGGGCGAACATCGTCAGTGGCATGTGGATTTTCAGGGTGAAGCGGCCGCCGGGTTCTCCGCCTGTCTTCAAGGCGCGTTACGTGGCTCGAGGCTTCAGTGAGCGGCAAAGAGTTGACTACTTTCAGACCTTCTCTCCCACCCCAAAGATGACCACTCTTCGGGTTCAGCTTCACATAGCCGCTCAGCGGGACTACGAGCTTCACTCTCTTGACTTCAGCACTGCTTTCCTGCAGGGTAGCCTGCACGAGGAGATCTAGCTGCGCCGCCCACCTGGCTTCACTAGGTCGTTTCCCCCTGGTACCCAGTGGAGCCTCCGGCGGCCAGTCTACGGTCTCCGCCAGGCGCCCCGTGAGTGGCACGACACACTGAGGACTACACTTGCGGCTCTTGGCTTTGCTCCTTCTATTGCCGACCCATCGCTGTTTCTGCGCACCGACACCTCTTTTCCGCAGTTCTACATCCTCGTGTACGTCGACGACTTGGTCTTTGCCACTGCTGACACTGCTGGACTAGCCCACGTGAAGTCCGAGCTGCAGAAGAGACACACGTGCACAGACCTGGGTGAACTGCGCAGCTACCTTGGCTTGCAGATCACCCGGGACAGAGCATAGCGCACCATTACCCTGACTCTGTCACACATGGTGCAGCAGGTTCTTCAGCGCTTCGACTTCACGTACTCCTTGCCTCAGGCTACTCCTCTGTCTACTCGCCACTCGCTCTCAGCTCTGCCTTTGGATGAGTCTGTATAGCCGAGTGGCCCGTACCCAGAGCTTGTTGGCTCCCTCATGTACCTGATGACCTGCACACGACCTGACCTTGCATACCCTCTTAGCATCTTGGCACGCTATGTTGCTCCTGGGAGACACCGACTAGAGCACATGGCTGAAGCGAAGAGGGTGTTGCACTACTTGTGCAGTACGTCGAGCATGGGGCTAGTGCTTAGAGGGCGACGTCGAGTGGTCCTCACAGGGCACGCAGGCGCTTCTTGGGCTGACGACCAGGCTACGAAGCGGTCGTCACAGGGTTACACCTTTAGCCTTGGCTCCGGCTCTGTTTCATGGCGGTCTACCCGCTTGTCTTCTGTTCTCACCTCCAGGTGTGAGGCTGAGATCTACGCGGGGGCCATGGCTGCACAGGAGTTACGCTGGCTCACCTACCTGCTGACTGACCTAGGAGAGCCGCCTCGTTCTCCTCCAGCTCTGTACGTAGACAACAAGGCCATGCTGGCCTTGTGTCGGGAGCACAGACTCGAGCACAGAACGAAGCACATTGCTCTTCGCTACTTCCTTGCTCGTGAGCTGCAGCAGCGTGGTCAGCTGCGCCTTGCTTACGTGGCCTCTGAGGCCAACACTGCTGATATCTTTACCAAGGCACTTCCGCCTTGTGATCATCAGCGCTTCTGTACGATGCTAGGTCTTGTGCCCACTTGGCCTCACTTGCTCACTTCTTGACCTTGCTTGTACTGTGATCTTTCTATACCTGCACTTGCTTGTTCACCTTTATATATGATCTTGCATGTGAATTGACCTTGTGGCCTTGCTCTTGTGCTCGCACTGTGTGGTGACGTTGTGATCCACCCTGAGCTTGCTTTGCTTTGCTTGACCGGTCTTGTGACCTCTTGTTCTTCCCCACTTTGCCTATGGGGGTGTGTCAAACTCATATGCTATAGTCCGTGTAGGCTGTAGTGGGATAGACAATATGGGGTACAACACTTCTAGGTTTTCCTACTTGTACCCACATGCTTTCTAGTTCACTCATTCCTCATTCTTCACAGTCGAAGGTGCACCTTGCAGCATTTGAAGCCGAACGACTCGCTCAAGGCACGGAGGTGAGGCAGCGGTGCCTCCTCGACATGTTGAGTAGGGACCCTACCATGGCTAGGGTCGCCTAGTGCATCCAGGCGGCGTACTGGTGTGCTCGGAACGATGCTCCAATCGTTCTCTACCCGATGATGGTGCGGTTCATGGCGGAGCAAGGCTGCCCTGACATGGTAAATAGCGAATCGTACGGTCGCTATTACTCGAGGTATGTAGTTGTTTATCCGGCCCGTGGTTTCATGCGTTTTTGTTTTTCTGAATTGCTACTAACACTTGCTTGTCAGGTATTTGTTGCAGGTACGCCTTTGGCGATTTCATTGAGGCGATGGCGACTTACCTCGCGGACCGGCAGCTCCAGGACGTCAGGTTGTCTGCTTGGTACGGGCTCTCCTTCCATGAGTCTACGGATCGTGCCCGCGGCAAGCATTTGATCGTTTACGCGACTTTCGAGCGAACCGAGTCTGTGGTGACTGACCCAATTTTTTGGGCACCTTTCTCTCACCCGATGCGACACGCAATCAATCTACGAGACGATCATGGCCTTCATCTCGAGGAAGGGCCTGTCAATGGAGAGGTTTCCTGGCGTCTCAACGGAAGGGGCTTCCGTTATGACTGGCGAGAGGAAGGGAGTGGTCGCTTTACTCAAGAAGCATTGCCCCTGGCTGGTGGCTGTTCACTGTGTGGCGCACAAGTAAAAACGTGCAGAGCGTTTGTATATTCTGTTCCGACAACATCACATGCTTTCTAACGTTTTCCTTTTGCCTATGCAGGGAAGCATTGGCTGCTAAAGATGCAGCGGCAAGCTTCAAAGACTTCAATGTCGTCGATACGATGATATGCCAGACTGCGGAGCGACTCGGGCGTTCCTCCACCGACCACAGGACGTACATGCACCTGCAAGATGTGATTCTACAGACACACCTGGAGGTGTAGGGGTTCTGTACTGTACGGTGGCTGACTCGAGGGGACGTGGTGCAGCGGTTCTGTGACGTGCTGCCCGTGCTGATGTGGATGTGGAGCAGGGACAAGCTAGCGATGCAGAAGATTGCAAGCAGCTTCAAGTTTCATTTCATGCTTTTCCTCCTGACGGACATCCTGCAGCTACTCAATGGACTGAATCTTGCCTTCAAGAAGAAGACGGTATGTCTTGATTCGTGTCGCTCCACGTTAGTGTTGTACCGCAGTAGTCAACGATTTATGTTCATTTGTACTTGTTCATCTATGCTTGTTCTGCTGTGCGTGTTCAACTGTGCCTCTGTGCGTATTAAACTGTGCTTGTTCAGGTTGACATCACGGAGGTGAAGAACCATGTGGACAAGGTGAAGACGAAGCTCGCGCAACGCTATGTCGAGCCCGACGCATCGCACGGGCAGAAGGACTCTCGCCTGGCTAAGTTCATCGCTCAACGTGGCAGCCAGGAGAAGCGCACCATTGAGATCAAGGGAGTCGATGACAGCGGCAAGCAAGCGACCACCAAGGTCACGCTCCACGAGGAGAAGATCGGAGAAGGCGCGGGAAGTGACCTGGGGTCTTGCAAGGACCTTGCCAGGCGGTTCTCGCAGATCCTGGTAAGGCACTGGGCAAGAGAATGGCTGACTTGCGCCATTTTGATGGCGTCCAGGTTTTCCAGCCTGACCAGTACCCCAAAAATGTGTGCGACCAGGAACCCTGGCTCAAGACCCACCTGGCAGAGCTGCTGGACCTGTTCAAGAACCAGCTCCCTGGTAAGTGTGGGAAGCATATTGGCTCAAGTTATTTGCTGAGGATAGCTCAAGTTCCATCTACTTACTGAACTTACCCCGTATCCCCTTGGCAGATATCTCGGCTGTAGATATAGAGCCAGCGATGCATCTCTTCACGGCGACCCTGTTCGCGAAATTCAAGAAGCAGAGCTTTCATCAGGCTCTTACGAACATGCTCCGCACTTCAGATTGGCAAGATGATTACCCCCACCTTGTTTCTCTCTAGCGAGCTCTTTCCGTGTTGCCCCTCAGCACTGTGGAGTGCGAGAGGGGCTTCTCCAGGCAAAACATTATAAAGGCATGGGATCGTACGGCTCTTACTGATGTTAAGCTGGGGGAGTTGATGACTGAGTTATCCTGTCGACTGGGTTGAGGCCTACGCTGTTTTTTAGGCCAAGGGGCGGAGGCCTGCCACCTAGGTTTGCATGTCTTGTCTAAGATATAATGTGATGCAGGTGGTAGAGGAGCTTCAGATGAGTAGATAGTGCAGCTGCACTTGTAGTTGGATTGGAAGTAGTGACATGCAGGTTGAATAGTGTAGTTAGTACTGAAAAGGTAGGTTTATTCTGTCTTCAATTCAGGATAGGTTAGTTAAGTAGACTACACTTTGGAGCCCCGATTTCAAGTTTACTTTTCGGCCAGCGCTCGTGGCCGTTAAGGGCAAAAAAATGGTCACCTCCCTGAAAATAAGGGCCGAAATTTCAGCTGCTGAGGGGCTTAAGTTTTGGCCCCAGGGCTATCGACCAGGCCTGTCGAAGTTTCTGGGGCTCGTACTTGCGCTCCCCAGCTCCTCCCCATCTGACCCTTGGTTGGGTGTAGGTGTGCATTTTGGCGCCCTTAATGGTCACGGGTGCACCCCAAAGTGAAAACTTGAAATCCGGGCATGTGAGAAGTTTGCACTTACACTGTATTTTACTATGATACGTGCAGTTGTCCACTTATATTAGAAGTCAAAGATACCTAATAGACATGTCTTCAATAGTCATAAATCTACCTAGCCTGCAATGTTCTACTTCTCTACACTAACTACAGATATAGCATGTAGTGCTCAACTATTCTACTCTACCCAAACATGCAATGCAAGCCTATTTGGCAGGCTTCCTCCCCTTCCTCCCATTCTCCTAAAATAAGGCATAGGCCGCTGCCCAGTCCACCAGGTAGTCTAGCATCTTCACCGTCATCAGCTCCCCCAGCCTAACATCGGTAAGAGCAACACGATCCCACGACTTAATAATGTTTTGACGGGAGAAGCCCCTCTCACACTCAACAGTGCTGAGGGGCAACACAGAGACCGCACACCAGAGAGAGACAATGGTGGGATAGTCATCCCTCCAGTCTGCCGTGCGCAGCATGTTGGTGAGAGCCTGATGGAAGCTTTGCTTCTTGAACTTCTTCTCCATGGTGGCTGTGAAGAGGCGCATCTGCGGCTCTATGTCAGCAAGAGCGACTCCTGCCAAGCACATATACAAGAAGGTTAGAACATGTCAATGTTGGAGAAGAACATATACAAGGTTAGAACATATACAAGGTTACAACATATACAAGGTTCCAACTATATGCCTCTCGACTTACCAGGTAGCTGGTTCTTGAACATGTCAAGGAGCTCGGTGAGATGGAGCTTCACCCAAGCGTCCTGCTCTCCTGCACGGTTGGGATACTTATCAGGGGAGAAAAAACCAACTCCATCGAAATGGCGCAGGTCCGCCATCTGTCAGAACATTATAGCTCATGCTTTTGTGTAGGCTATAGTGGGGTATCCCATAAGGGGTACAACCCAATTAGGGTTAGTACTTGTACCCACTTCATTCATAGTTCATACATTCGCGTTCACTCTTTCACATGGAATCAGAGCAGGTCCCCTCCTAGGGACTGTTCCCAGGGCCCACCGAAGCGCGCCCCGACGCGCGCGTTCCTTTTTTTTTAGCGACCCTCCGTGTCGCCCCTAGCGGCCCGGTACGCCGCCCTTACCTACGCGGCCCCGCCGCCCTTACCTGCGCGGCCCTGCCGCCCTTACCTACGCGGCCCCACCGCCCTTACGTCACGGCCCCGCCGCCCTCACGTCGCGGCCCCGCCGCCCTCACGTCGCGGCCCCGCCGCCCTCACGTCGCGGCCCAACCGCTCTCACGTCGCGGCCCCGCCGCCCTCACGTCGCGGCCCCGCCGCCCTCACGTCGCGGCCCCGCCGCCCTCACGTCGCGGCCCCGCCGCCCTCACGTCGCGGCCCCGCCGCCCTCACGTCGCGGCCCCGCCGCCCTCACGTCGCGGCCCCGCCGCCCTCACGTCGCGGCCCCGCCGCCCTCACGTCGCGGCCCCGCCGCCCTCACGTCGCGGCCCCGCCGCCCTCACGTCGCGGCCCCGCCGCCCTCACGTCGCGGCCCCGCCGCCCTCACGTCGCGGCCCCGCCGCCTCACCTTCGCGGCCTCGCCGCCCTCACCTTCGCGGCCCCGCCGCCCTCACCTTCGCGGCCCCGCCGCCCTTACCTACGCGGCCCCGCCGCCCTTACCTACGCGGCCCCGCCGCCCTTACGTCGCGGCCCCGTCGCCCTCACGTCGCGGCCCCGCCGCCTCACCTTCGCGGCCCCGCCGCCCTCAAGTAGCGGCCCCGCCGCCTCACCTACGCGGCCCCGCCGCCCTCACCTTCGCGGCCTCGCCGCCCGTGCCTACGCGGCCCCGCCGCCTTCTCCTACGCGGCCCCGCCGCCCTCACGTCACGGCCCCGCCGCCCACACCTTCGCGGCCCCACCGGTCTCCCCTCCTGCCGAGCCGCCCGAGCAGCCGCCCGCCACGCCGCCCGGTACCGGAGCAGCCGAGCCGCCCAGCAGCAGCCGCCGGGCCGCCTGGCCGCCGAGCCGCAGTTCAGCCGAGCCGCCCAGCAGCAGCCGCCGAGCCGCCGGGCCGCCGAGCCGCAGTACAGCCGAGCCGCCCAGAGCCGCCGCCGAGCCGCCGAGCCGCAGTACCGCCGAGCCGCCCCGCAGCCGAGCCGCACTACTGCCGAGCCGCCCGACCTGCCCTATCTGGTGAGCACAGCCCCACTGCTACTGCGTGCCCTTCCCCCACTGCTTGCACTGCTAGTCTGTCGTCATGGCTACCCCTAGTGTCCTTGCTTTTGAAGCTGAGGGTCGAGCCATTGACTTTGACGTCTGGGTCGACGACCTGCAGCTGTTTTTACAGTGCGATAGGGCGGACGGTCTTTCTCTCTTTGACCTCACCTCTGGCGCCTCCCCTGCTCCTGCTGCTGATGCTGACCCCACTGTTCGCTCTCAGTGGGCCACCCGCAATGCTGCTGCACGTCTTGTTGTGCGTCGCCACCTGCCTACCACTGAGCGCGCGCACTTTAGTCAGTACAAGAGTGCTCAGACCTTGTACGACGCTGTAGTTGCGCGCTACTCTTCCCCTGCCACTGCTGCACTGAGCCGCCTCATGCTACCGTACCTCTTTCCTGACCTTGCTGCCTTTCCTACAGTCGCTAACCTCATCACGCACCTCCGCACTTCTGATACTCGCTACCGCGCCGCACTTCCTGCTGAGTTCTGCGCCAAGAACCCCCCCCCCATGTACATCGCTCTCTATTACATAGTCACTCGCCTCCCTGACTCCCTTCGCGTGGTCAGGGACCACTTCCTCTCAGTCTGTCCCACCACCCTCACTGTCGACCTCCTTGAGAAGGCCCTCCTAGCGGCGGAGAAGAGCAAAGTCGCTGTAGGAGCCTCTCGTGGTGACCCGCGCACCCCCATCTTTGAGGGGTGTTCTCCTTCCCCCCTGCTGCCCTCTGTTGCCTCTGCTGCTGCTGCCGACCTGCTTGGTCTTGACTCGGTCGGCGCGACGTCTGCTCCTAGCGGGAGACGCCGCCCTGGCAAGGGCAAGGGGGGCAAGGGCGCGGGTGGAGCTGGCGGGGGCGGTGGAGGTGGCAGTGGCGGTGGCGGAGGGAGTGGGGGTGGCGGTAGGAGTGGTGGTGGGGGTGGTGGTGGTGGTGGCGGCAGCGGAGGCGGCGGCGGGAGCGGAGGTGGAGGCGGCGGTGGGAGCGGAGGCGGCGGTGGTGGCGGAGGTGGAGGCGGCGGTGGCGGAGGAGGTGGAGCCGGTCGGGGTGGTGCCTCGCAGCGGAGCGGCTCTTGTGGTGGTCCGCGCCAGCAGCAGCAGCAGCAGCAGCAGCGTTCTCGGGACATCCCCCCGCCTCAGCAGCTCCGTGAGTGGTACACGCAGCGTCAGCGTGGTGGGGGTCTTGGCCCGTGCACCTACGCTCTTCATTCCGGCGACCGCGCGGGTGAGCAGTGTGGGGGTGCCCACTCCACCCAGCGCTGCTTTGGCCGCCTGACGGACGCTTGGCGTCAGCAGTTCCCCGAGGCTAGTGAGATTCCCCGCTGGGGAGAGCTGTCTAGGGCTGGCGTAGCGATCTTTAATCTTGACTTTGATGCTATCCTTGCTGCCATGTATGCTGTGACTATTAGTGATGAGGGTGACTGTTACCGGTGTTTCCCGCCCGACCCGGGCATTGGTACTGCTGCGCTAGGTGCTTGTGAGGCTGCTGCTCTAGGTGCCAGTGCGTCTGCACTCTCAGGTACTGGTGAGGCTGCGCTCTCAGGTATTGCGTCGGCTTCGGCCTCCCTCACCTTCATACTTGACTCAGGGGCTTCTCGCTCCTTCTTTCGAGACCGCACCACACTCACGCCGCTTGGTCGGCCGGTTGCAGTCTCCCTGGCTGACCCCTCTGGGGGTCCTGTCCTCGCTCACTTCTCCACTGTCCTCCCGTGTCCGGCTGCCCCCTCGAGCACCCTGTCGGGTCTGTACCTCCCCTCGTTCTCGACGAACTTGGTGAGTGGTGCTGACCTGCAGGATGCGGGGGTTCACCAGTTTACTCCTACGAGTCAGCGGGGGACCCACTGCTCGGACGCCCGCACAGGCCGACAGCTAGCCACGTTTTCGCGTCGGCCCGGGTCGAGTCTCTACACCCTGACCACTGAGTCTCCTCCAGTCCCTGCGTCTGGCCAGGTAGCTGCGTCGGGTCAGGTGTTTGCTGCTGCGTCCAGGTCTGGTCCTGAGTCTGCCCCCTGCTCGTGTTGCCTCCTGTCTCACGAGACTCTCTTGTGGCACCACCATCTTGGCCACCCCTCCTTGCCTCGTCTTCGGGGCATGGCTTCCCGTGTCCTTGTCTCTGGTCTCCCCCGGTCTCTCCCTCCCCTTCCTTTTGGGCCAGGATCTTCCTGTGTCCCCTGTGTCAAGGGGCGGCTCCGGGCTGCCCCTCACTCCTCCCATTTTCTCCCGACAGAGGCTCCTCTGCAGACGCTTCACATGGACGTGTGGGGCCCGGCCCGCGTCCGTGGACAGGGTCACGAGCGCTACTTCCTGCTGGTGGTTGACGACTACTCGCGTTACACCACGGTCTTCCCCTTGCGCAGCAAGGGTGATGTCACTGGGGTGTTGATCGAGTGGATCCGCGCAGCTCGTCTCCAGCTCAGGAGGAGCTTCGGCTCGGACTTTCCTGTTCTGCGTCTGCACTCTGACCGAGGCGGAGAGTTCTCCTCTGGCCTTCTGCGAGCCTACTGTCGTGCACGAGGCATCCGCCAGACCTTCACGCTTCCGGACTCTCCACAGCAAAATGGGATTGCTGAGCGCCGCATTGGCATGGTCATGGACGTCGCTCGTACGTCCATGATGCATGCGGCTGCCCCCCATTTTCTGTGGCCGTTTGCAGTTCGGTACGCGGCGCATCAGATCAACCTTCACCCCAGGGTCTCCATGCCGGAGAACTCCCTAGCTTTGCTGTGGACGGGGAAGGTTGGCGATGCGTCTGCGTTCCGTGTCTGGGGATCTCGGGCGTTTGTCCGCGACTTGTCTACGGACAAGCTGTCCCCTCGTGCTGCTCCTTGCGTCTTCCTTGGCTCCCCCCCCTGATGCCCCAGGGTGGCAGTTCTACCACCCCTCCTCTCGTCGTGTTCTGTCCTCCCAGGACGTCACGTTCAATGAGTCCGTCCCCTTCTACCGCCTCTTCCCCTACCGCACTCCTTCCCTCCCCCCGCTACCGCACTTCCTTGTGCCAGGTCCCCCCCCGGTAGACCCCCTTCCCCCTCAGGGTCCTGCCCCTTCAGGTGTGTCCCAGGTAGATGCAGTCGAGCCGGTCGAGGTTGCTGGTGACTCAGGTACTGCTAGGGGTGCTGAGCCTGGGGGTGCTGAGCCTGGGGGTGCTGACTCTGGGGGTGCTGAGTCTGGGGGTGCTGAGCCTTGGGGTGCTGAGCCCGGGGGTGCTGAGCGTGAGGGTGCTGCCTCTTGGGGTTCTGAGCCTGGGGGTGCTGAGCCTGGGGGTGCTGCCTCTGAGGGTGCTGCGCGCGGGGGTGCTGAGCCTGGGGGTGCTGCGTCTGGAGCTGCTGAGCCTGGAGGTGTGGAGCCTACGGCCACTGGACCTCCCCTTGTGGCGTCTAGTGGTGCTAGGCCTGGAGGTTCTCCGGGTGTTTCGTCTCGGCGGAGCTGCTGGGCCTGCGGGTCCGCCTGGAGCTGGAGCTGCTGAGGGTGTTGGTTCTAAGACTACTACTGTCAGTCCTGGTGGTGGTCGTGCTGCGGGTGCTGCTGGTGCTGCTGGAGGTCCTGCCGCTGGAGGTGCTGTTGGCGCTGGTGCAGCCGGAGGTGCTGAGGGTGCTGGTGCTGTCCCTGCTGTGTCTGGTGCTGCCACGCGGCCTCGGCCGTACTTTGTTCCGCTTCTTCAGTAGGTTCTTGGTCTTCCTCCTCTCATAGAGTGTCCACCGCCTGTCCAGTCGCAGTCACAGTTACCGCCGGCCTCCCCACTGCCTTCTCCTTCACCTTACACTGGTCCTACTGGAGGTCTTGCTGAGCGTCGTGAGCCTACGTCTCGTCCTGCGTCGCCTGTTCGTGCGGCTCGCACTAGTGGTCGCAGTTCGCGTCAGCGTCCTCCTCCTGTCCCTGGCACGCACCGGATGTCTCTGCGTCCGTCCACTGCTCCTCTGCGTGCCCCTTTGCCCTCTCCTCCTGAGTCCTCTCTTCCTGCGCTTGCCGACCCTGAGTCGGACTCTCTTCGTGCTGCCAGTCCTACTGTCACGCGTCTCCTTGTTACTGTCGTCACTGACCCCTCCTTTGAGTCCACTACTGCGTCTGCTCTTGTTGCTGAGCTCGTCGACTTTGCTGCTCGCTATCGTCTAGACTACGCTGCTAGTCTTGTTGCTGAGTCTACGTCTGTCTGTCCTCTGTCCGTCGGGGGTGAGTGTGCGCTTGGCACGGACGTCCTTGAGGAAAGGCAGGAGGAGTTTCAATGTCTGGCTGCTGCTTCACCTCATCTCGCGTCTGTACTGCTTGTCCCGGAGGGAGACCCGGATGCACTAGACATCCCGACTCCGCGCTCTTACGCGGAGGCTGTAGAGGGTCCCTACTCCTCTCAGTGGCAGGCAGCTATGGATACAGAGATGGCTTCCTGGAAGTCCACAGGCACCTACGTTGACGCGGTTCCCCCTTCTGGGGCGAACATCGTCAGTGGGATGTGGATCTTCAGGGTGAAGCGGCCGCCGGGCTCTCCACCTGTCTTCAAGGCGCGGTACGTGGCTCGTGGCTTCAGTCAGCGGCAGGGAGTTGACTACTTTCAGACCTTCTCTCCCACCCCGAAGATGACCACTCTTCGGGTGCTGCTGCACATAGCCGCTCAGCGCGACTACGAGCTCCACTCTCTTGACTTCAGCACTGCTTTCTTGCAGGGTAGCCTGCACGAGGAGATCTGGCTGCGCCGTCCACCTGGCTTCACTGGGACTTTCCCTCCTGGCACCCAGTGGAGCCTCCGGCGGCCAGTCTACGGTCTCCGCCAGGCACCGCGTGAGTGGCACGACACACTAAGGACTACGCTTGCAGCTCTTGGGTTTGCTCCCTCTACTGCTGACACGTCGTTGTTTCTGCGCACCGACACTTCTCTGCCGCCGTTCTACATCCTTGTGTACGTCGACGACTTGGTCTTTGCCACAGCGGACACTGCTGGACTCGCCTACGTGAAGTCCGAGCTGCAGAAGAGACACACGTGCACAGACCTGGGTGAACTGCGCAGCTACCTTGGCTTGCAGATCACTTGGGACAGAGCACGCCGCACCATTACCTTGACTCAGTCACACATGGTGCAGTAGGTCCTTCAGCGCTTCTGCTTCATGTACTCCTCGCCTCAGGCCACTCCTCTGTCTACTCGCCACTCGCTCTCAGCTCTGCCTTCGGATGAGTCCGTTGAGTCGAGTGGTCCGTACCCAGAGCTTGTTTGCTACCTCATGTACCTGATGATCTGCACACGACCTGACCTTGCATACCCTCTTAGCATCTTGGCACGCTATGTTGCTCCTGGGAGACACCGAGCAGAGCACATGGCTGCAGCGAAGAGGGTGTTGCGCTACTTGTGCAGTACGTCGGGCATGGGGCTAGTGCTTGGAGGGCGGAGTCCAGTGGTCCTCACTGGGCACGCGGACGCTTCTTGGGCTGACGACCAGGCTACTCAGCGGTCGTCGCAGGGTTACACCTTCAGTCTTGGTTCCGGCTGTGTTTCGTGGCGGGCTACTCGCTCGTCTTCTGTTCTCGGCTCCAGTTGTGAGGCTGAGATCTACGCCGGGGCCATGGCTGCTCAGGAGCTTCGCTGGCTCACCTACCTGCTGACTGACCTTGGAGAGCCGCCTCGTTCTCCTCCAGTGCTGTACGTAGACAACAAGGCCATGCTGGCCTTGTGTCGAGAGCAGCGCCTGGAGCACAGAACGAAGCACATTGCTCTCCGCTACTTTCTTGCTCGTGAGTTGCAGCAGCGTGGTCAGTTGCGACTTGCGTACGTGGCCTCTGAGGCCAACACTGCTGATGTTTTCACCAAGGCACTTCCGCCTTGTGATCATCAGCGTTTCTGCACTCAGCTGGGACTTTTCCCAGTCTTGCCTCACTTGCTCACCTCTTGACCTTACTTGTCCTCTTGCATATATATATATACCTGCTCTTGCTTGTTTAGACTTATATATATATGTGTCTCCTCCTGCATGTGAACTGGCCTTGTGGCCTTGACCTTGTGCTCAGACTGTGTGGTGACGTTGTGATCCACCCTGAGCTTGCTTTGCTTTGCTTTGCTTGACTGGTCTTGTGACCCCTTGTTCTCCCCCACTTTGCCTATGGGGGTGTGTCAGAACATTATAGCTCATGCTTTTGTGTAGGCTATAGTGGGGTATCCCATAAGGGGTACAACCCAATGAGGGTTAGTACTTGTACCCACTTCATTCATAGTTCATTCATTCGCGTTCACTCTTTCACACCATCCTCTTCCCCAGCGCCTTAATCAAGGCGCTGAGCGAAACGCCTCGCCAGGTCCACGCAGGCCTCCAAGTCGCATCCCCCCCCAAGGTTTTCAGGGTCGATGATGTCCCCGTGAAGCTCGATCTCGGCTTTTGCAGGCTTGCCGTTCTCGTCCACTCCCTTGAGCTCCACCTTGCGCTTGTCCTTGCTGCCGTGTGCAGCAAGGAACTTGTTCAGGCGAGAGGTGTTTGGCCCGTTGGATGCGCCGGGCTCGACGTAGTACTGCGACAGCTTGGTCTTCACCTTGTCCACATGATTCTTCACCTGTGTGATGTCGACCTGAAAGCAAACAGAGTGAGAAAACATAACAGCCAAGCACACAAGTCAAGAAGCAACAAGGCCATGTCATGACAACCATACCGTCTGCTTCTGGAAGGAAAGATTGAGTCTGTTGAGCAGCTGCAGCACATCAGCCAGGAGATATAGCATATGGTGGAACTTGAAGGTGGTAGCGAGTTTCTTCATCTCGTCCTTCTCCTTCGTCTACATCCATATCAGCACCGGCAACACGTCACAGAAGCGATTCACAGCATCCCCGTGAGACAACCAACGGACGGTGCAGAAGCCTTGCACCTCCAGGTGCGTCTGCAGAATGACGTCCTGGAGATGCATGTATGTCTTGTGATCGGTCGATGAACGGCCGAGACGCTCTGCAGTCTGGCGTATCATCTGATCGACGACGTTGAACTCCTTGAAGCTCTTCGCGGCATCCTTGGCAGCCAATGCCTCGCTGCACAAGCACGAAACGTGCGTGAGTATGGTTGGGGAGGGGACGGGTGTAACATACGATTGGAAACAGTGCAGTGCAGCCTTACCGATGCGCCACGCAGTGAATCGCCACCAGCCACAGGCAACGTTTCCGAAGCAGGGCGACAACTCCGTTCTTCGCGCCAGACATGACGGATGCACCATCCGTTGATACCCTGACCAGCTTATCTAGCGACATGTCCTTCGACCACAGACACTTCACAATCGTGTCGTGCAGTGCTGCGGCGTTGCAACGTCCGAGCGACAGGAGAGCAAGAAACTGGGACACCACGTCCTCGCCTCTCTCAAACGTGACATACATGATGAGGTGCTTTCCACGGACGCGATCCGTGGATTCATCAAACGAGAGGCTATACCAGGCCGACTCTTTGATGTCCGCGAGCTGCCTGGCCACCAGATGCTCTGCCATAGCCTCTACGAACTCGCTGAAGGCATATCTGCAATGAGCACCGAATGAAAATGTGAGTAAGTTACCCACAATAGAACATCAGCAAGAGTAAGAATAAAGCAGAAGCAAACGAACAGAAGCAAAAGCAGGAAAGCAGGAAATTAGGAGCAGAAACAGAGGCTAACAAACACGTACCGTGAGTAATAACGACCGTACGATTCACCGTTCATCATGTCGGGGCATCCTTGCTCCGCCATGAACCGCACCAGCATGGGGTAGAGAGCGATAGGTGCATCGTTCCGCGCAATCCAGTGAGCTCCTTGCATGCATTTGACGACCCTCGCCATGACAGGATCGCTGCTGAGCATATTCAAGAGGCTGCGCTGCCTCACCTCCGTGCCTTCAGCGAGTCGTTCAACTTCCATGGCCGCGAGGTGCACCTTGGACTGGTCATCGTTGCGGCACGCCGACTTCTGAAAATCCCTTGCACCGACTCCAGCACCGCCAAAGAGACACTTGGTGTTAGGAGCGAACTTACAGCAGACGGAACACTTCATACCATACTGGCGCTCCCGTTTGTTGTACTTCAAGCTCAGCCACGATTACTTCTGCTTCCACGACGTGCTGAAGCGACGTGCAAGACTCCTCTCAGCTTCAGGGATCTCGGTGTCCGGGGGTACTTCAGCGGCCTCTGCGATAGCGTTGTCCTGCTCCTCCAGCTCCTCAGCAGTGGGTGGAGGCGGTACGCATCGTGCACGCTTTCGCTATTCTGGTGGCGGACTAGCGAAGCTAAGGTGAAGCTGACGATAACGGGCTGCTGACCTAGGGGTAGACTGTGACGATGAGGCTTCATGGGCGAGGCGCGGGTTCAAGACTGAGATTACTACGTCTAGCATGTCTTCAGCATCCGTGGGTATGTAAGGCTCGGTCTCGGTCGTACTATGAGACGTTCGTCATGGGCAAAACTGGAGGAGGTGTTTCACCCTCGCTATGGTCCATTGTGGGAGAATGTGGCTGACAAAGGGAACGGGTTAGCTAGCCATAATATAAACCTCGTGTGTGTGTGAGCAAGGCGACACACGTTGCAGCAAAGTAACTTTTACGTTTCTTTTCGAACTGCCCTTTTTCGCGATGGAGGAGAGGAGAGGGAGGTTGGGTTGGTGTTGGTGGTGGATGGATTGCATGGTGGTGGAGAGGAATCGTGGCACGCACGAACGAAGGTGGTGAGAGAGCTGCTTGCTTACGCTGGAGTGCTTTAGTTCCTTTGACGTGCTTTGGTTAAGTGTGTTGGAGTTCTCTGTGGCAAATCCAAGCTAACCCTATGTGTCACAGCTGTAAACTGCGGCCAACTCGTATTGGACGCGAAGGGAATGTTCGGGTGCTCCAAGGCTGACTGAGATACACTACACACACGAGATTTGGCTAGAAAACGCTAAGGGAAAAATTCCCCTTGGGGGGGGGAAGTCTCGGGCACCCTGAGGGGGGGGGGGAAGTCTCGGGCACCCTGGGGGATGGGGGGGGTCCTACGATCGGAAACCAAAACTTAGCTAAATGGGAAGGCCAGGTTTCGTCCCTTAACGCATCCGGGGAAGCGTCGAACGAAGCACTTAGTGGCTCGGGTGGGGTGCTAATCTGAAACTTGACGCATTGGAGCTGCAGCGAAACTAGTCCTTAATGTTCGGAGCATTAAGGGCATATGCCCTTGAATCGACAGGCCTGCTATCGACAGCCCTGCTCCGATTTCTCGACACTTCCCCCAGCACCCCGTCTATGACTTCCAAACGTTGCGTTATGCTGGGCAAATGGACGGCTGCATTTGAGATGGCTGCCTTGGATTTGGGGGTGAGAGGAAGGGCTCGGGTTTTTGTTTTCGAGTGTTCTCCACACGTGTACACTCTGACACATCACGTCCTACTGCCCCAGTACTGTAAAGCACCAGTGGCTCCACCATTGCGACCCCCATGCCCCTGACGCATCCCGGTACAGTAGAAACCCGTAAACCTTACATTTACTCTTCCAACTGTATTCTGTACTCCGAGTTATTGCAAATCGCTGTATCCTGTACTCCGAGTTATTGCAAATCGAATACGAATCCAGTGTACAGCACATCAAGATCAAGCCATCCAACACACATGCAACCACTTTTGCACGCGGGGAGGAACCTTGATACATAATGCGATCTGGTCTGACATGGTGGGGCGGGCGAAGCCGTCCCGAACAAACCGGTCCACACCACGCTGAGGTGGCCGGACCTATGACCAACCAAGCCCCTCGGTTTGGGCTTGGCTTGGTTTGGCCGGAGCGGGCGTGTGGTTGCAGGGCTAAGCTGCGGGAGCTTGGGTTGTCTGCGGGTTCAGCTCCTCCTCTTGTTCTATCTATTGTTAGCAATTGCGGTGGATATGGAAGTCAGGCAGACAGGCACACGCAGCGAGCGGCAGTCATGGAATAAGCACTTGTGATGATGCAAGGTCAACTGAGGCAATTAGTTCTCACATTTCTCGTGGATTCACCTCTGCCATGGGAGACAATATTCCAAAGGCGGTCCTTTTTTAGTTTGTCACGCGATTGGAGTATTTTGTGAGGGGCGGTGGGGTTGATGGGTGCTGTTTTTTGGTGTTTCTGAACGACCGCCTTGCATTTGCAAGGAATGATGCTCGAGATTTCCCTCGGGAAGGTATAAAGCGGTTCTTTTTTGGAGTATGGATACGAGCCTCAGACTCCCAAACTGTGGAGCTTCTTCGCAAATTAGGTGAACCTTTGAGTCCCCCCATACGACGCCTTTGCGTGAATCTCCTTGGCAGACGCCTCAGCCCTTGCACGCCAGCATGCATTACCGTTTCCTTAACTAACCTGTGAGGCTGACTGCGGTATTTTCTCACCACTAACTCAGAAAGGTCCACTTCGTGGTACCGCATTCAGCCGCAATACTTACGTTCACTATGTGAAACTTCTTCCTACGATCTTTATATACGTCCTATACTGAATATATTCATTTGACGTTACTCGCGTCCCTCCGATTCAGCCAAAGCCCTTCAATTAGCCAATAGCCGTTAAATTCAGCCAGTAACTCTTCGATTTAGCCAATAGCCGCCCGATTCAGCTATGGGGACGCGCGTCGCAGTGTCGTGGTGGATGCCTGCGTTGATAGCCTGGACTCTCGGGTGGTTAGCTCTCTCCATCTTCGTTATATGGTCCACGCGGAAAGCGGCGCTCGATCCGCTAAACGCGGACCTCACGTCGTGGTGCCTCGCGCGCGTGCGATACCTGGATCAAGAAATCGCATCGAACTTGAACCACGCTGAGGTGTGTGCGACAGATCTCTCGTCAGGTCACTTCATGCGCTCATTCGCCGCTTGCGGTGCACGCGCGCGCGCGCGCCTGTGGGGTTTCGTAGACCTAGCTTGCCTGCTATGCTGCTGCGTGTTCTGGTTTTCGCGTTTCCATCTCGCTATCACAGTTGACAGCATGCATCGTGTTTCCCCGTGTTTTAGGTCGCCTGGAAGCAAGATCTGTAAGCTACATTACGTGGAATCATGATGCGGCCTTTCGCGTCCTTCACTCCCTCCCGCGTGCATCGTGTTCCCTTTCCTCCCCGCACGCGCGACGGTTTCCCCTCGTCTCCTTCCCGTCTCCATCCCCGAGTGTTTCCTCCGATTTACCCCTAAGCATTCGTCCTCTCCGCGCATTCCCCGCATTCCCCGCGTTCCCCGCATTCACCACGTCCCCCGTGCCCCCCGCGTTCCCCGCATCCCCCGCATCAGCCGCATCCCCCGCATCCCACCAATGCCCCCTGATCCTGTGGAGCTCATTAGGGTATGGCTTCGGCCCGAAGAGGACACCATTGAGTCGACCTTAAACCCCCATATTCCGTATCCCCCGCATACCGCCCATGCCCTGCGTTCTCTGCACCTTCCGCTCTACCCCACCTCCTATTCCCCCCCCAACTCCCGCCCCGATTTCCCGCGTTCCCCGCACTCCTCCCCCCGCCCCCCTTCCCCCCCACGCTTCCCTCCCCCTCCCCCGGCGGGCAGGTGAACGTGGGGCTGATCAAGGTGTTCAACGGGTTCGGCCCTACCTGGCGTACTGGGAGTACACGGGGTGCCTCAACAGTCATTCCCCCCATCCCCGCGTTCCCCGCGCCTCCCCGCGCCTCCCCGCGCCTCCCCGCCCCTTCCCGCCCCTCCACTGCGCAGGTGAACGTGGGGCTGATCAAGGTGTTCAACGGGTTCGGCCCCAAGGCGCCGGACCTGGCGTACTGGGGGTACACGGGGTGCCTCAACAACCGGTCGTGGATCAGATACGCCGAGGAAACGCAGTACGCCAAGCGCTGGATGACCAACGCCTGGCTCGCCTTCGTCGACGGGCAGGACAGGTGCGTGCGTCTCAGTGGGCAGGGCACCATAAAGTGATTCATGTATACGTATTATTTGTACAGTTCGCAGTACGCCAAGCCCTCCCTGGATGACCAACGCCTGGCTCGCCTTGGTCGACGGGCAGGACAGGTACATTCAGGTGCCAGTTTCAGAGCATCAACAGCCTCCAGGCGCAACTGTCGCGTCTTCGTCCACCCCTCCCCTCTCCCTCCGCACTCCCTCCTCTCTTCCTCCACACCCCCCCCCCCCCCCCCCCGTCCCCCAGGCCGATGATAGAGAAGTCGCTGGGGTGCCAGTTTCAGAGCATCAACAGCCTGGAGGCGAAAGTGAGCGCGCGCAAGGACTGCTACGTGGTGAACCTGTTCCAGTTCAGCCCCTTCTACAACTGGCCGCAGTGCACTGATTATACAGATCGCTTCGGCGAGGGCTGCAGCAACCTCAACACCAAGTGGAAGAGCCGTGGCAGCCCCCCGTACCGGTTCCGGAATGGTGATATCGGATTCAGTAAGTGGGGATTGGGATTGGGATTGGGATTGGGATTGGGTCTCTGTATTTTTGGTTCATTGAGTGGGCTTTGGCGAGGGCTGCACCAACCTCAACACCAAGTGGAAGAGCCGCGGCAGCCCACCTCACCACTTTCGAAACGGCGACATTGGTTCCAGTGACTGGGGGCCTGGGATTGGTACTCGGTTGTGTGGGTGGGGCTGTGAGGCTGGAATTGGGTTGAGTGAGTGTGGTGCTGCTGCATGGTGACTTGGGCTCGGGGTTCGGTCAGTGGAAAATGGGTTCAGTCGCTTCACAGGTAAGGTTTGGTGGTTGCCGCATCGGGTCGGTGGAAGGAGAAAGGTGATTGGAGGAGGGAAGGACGCGAGAAACACGTAGGGAGTAGCGAGGGGAGGGGTTGCGGTTGCGGTTGTGTCCATGTGCTCCTGGGGTTTCGCTTGATTGGTCGAGAGATATATCTGCCTTTTGCTGTCTCGTGCTTGTGGACTTGCGTATGCTTTGTGTGTACGTGTGTGTGCGTGTGTGTGTGTGTGTGTGTGTGTGAGAGAGAGTGAGTGTGTGTGTGTGTGTGTGTGTGTGCGTGCGTGCGTGCGTGCGTGCGTGCGTGTGCGTGTGCGTGTGTGTGTGTGTGTGTGCCTCTGTGTGTGTGTGCCTGTGTGTGTGTGTGCCTCTGTGTGTGTGTGCCTGTGTGTGTGTGTGCCTGTATGTGTGCCTGTGTGTGTGTGTGCCTGTGTGTGTGTGTGCCTGTGTGTGTGTGTGCCTGTGTGTGTGTGTGCCTGTGTGTGTGTGTGCCTGTGCATGTGTGTGCCTGTGCATGTGTGTGCCTGTGCATGTGTGTGTCTGGTTGTCATGACATCAGGTTTCGGCATGCCAGTGTTGCGTCACCCAATCGACGACAACGCCACGTCAGAGGAGGTTCTGGCAGCACTGGCGGGTTTCCTTGCGCCTGGCATCGACGCCGAGGCGCTCATAAAGCACACACTCTACTCTGTACTCGATACAGGTACGTTGTCTGTACTCTATATAGGTATGCTGTGTCTACTCGATACACGTACGTCTTGTGTACTCAACACATGTACGCTCCTTCTCCCACCCGTCCTTCTCCCCTCTCCTTTCCCTCTTACTCCCCCTTCTCCCCTTTCCCCTTCTCCCTCTCCCCCTCCCCATCCTCATCCCCCTCCCACTCCCCCTCCCCCTCCCCCTCCCCCTCCCCCTCCCCCTCCCCCCTCCCCCTCCCCACCCCCCTCCCACTCCCCCTCCCCCTCCCCCTCCCCCTCCCCATCCCCCTCCCTCCCCCTCTCCCCCCTCCATCAGGCAACTCGACCGCCATCTCATTCACAATGTATGACGTCACGAACGCGTCCAACCCGCTCATGGTGTTCGGGGACACACAGCCCGCCACGGGCACCAACCCCATCTACCCCATGGTGCTGCCCGCGCCCATCCCCCCGGGCGACAAGGTCGTGCAGCCCTTCCCCGACGACTTCATCGGCCGCCGCTACGAGGGCCACTGCCGCTACCGCCACCCTCCGCCTCTCTGGGGCACTCTCCTCGCTCCCATGCTCCTCGGGTTACTGGTGCTTCTCGTAGCCGTCCTTCTGACGTTTATCATAGTGTCGCTTGCGCGGAAGAAGGCGAGGATACGGCAGCAGATGGCGGAGGTGGAGGAGTATACGCTCGCGCTGGAGCAGGCGGAAAGGTCCAAGAGTGAATTCGTCGCGAACCTGTCGCATGAGCTGAGGACGCCTATAACGGGGATGCTAGGGATGATGGACTGGCTGTTGGAGTCGAGTCTGTCAGAGTGGCAGCACCGGGATTTGCTTGATGCAAAGACATGTGCCGTGGAGGCTATAGGGCTGCTCAACAGCGTGCTTGATCTGGCCAAGCTGCAGGTGAGTAGGACTGAGGCTTCACCCATCTGTGGCATGGCAGCAAGGTGTGCTGTGGGCAACAGGTACGGCTGACAAGGTGGGTCTGGGCTGGGGATGCCAGGGATGATGGATTGGCTGTTGGAGTCGAGTCTGTCGGAGTGGCAGCACCGGGACCTGCTGGATGCCAATACGTGTGCCGTGGAGGCCATCAGGCTGCTCAACAGCGTGCTGGACCTCGCCAAACTGCAGGTGAGTCTGCCGTACCTTGCTGCAAGGTGGGGCTGCGCGCTAAAGGTATGGCTGACATGCCGGGGATGCTGGGGATGCTAGGGATGATGGACTGGCTGCTGGAGTCGAGTCTGTCAGAGTGGCAGCATCGGGACCTGCTGGATGCTAAGATGTGTGCCAAGATCTGCTGGACGCCAAGACCTGTGCTGTGGAGGCCATCAGGCTGCTCAATAGTGTTCTGGATTTGGCCAAGCTGCAGGTGGGGCTGGGGTCAAAGGGGGTGGGGCTGGGGTCAAAGGGGGTGGGGCTGTGGGGTTGTGGGGCACTATGGTGGGGCCATGCGTACTTGTAAGGTGTGAACCGAACTACACCTGATCTCTTTGCGCAATTACCCCTCTCCCCACTAACCCCCTTGCCGCACCACTCCCCTCCTCCGCCACTCTTCCCCACTACTCTCCTCCCCCCAATCCCTCCCACTGTGTGCCAGGCGAAGCGGTTGGTGCTGGAGGCCTTCCCGTTCAGTCCCCACCAGTGTGCTGACCTGGCAGTGCGCGCCCTCATGCCGGACGCCCACAAGAAGAACCTGCAGTGTGAGTTTTTCAGGAACGTGCTCATTACAAAACCGCCCCTAAAATCCCTGAACTTTCGAGGTGGTGGGGGGAAACATTGCCCCTGGAATCATGAACTTTTTCAAATGTCTCCAGTGTGAGTCCTATCCAAGTTTCACTACTTCTCCTACCCCTCAACCTTCCTTCCCTTCCTTCGTTTCCCCCTCGAGCAGTCATATGCAGGATGCGAATGTGGCAGACGTACTCATTGATGACCCCACGCGCATGGGGCAAGTCATGCCACAAGACACAACCAAACACATTTTCTCCTCTTTTCTCTCTTGCCCTATCACTCTCCCCCACTTTTTTTCCCCTTCCCTCCTCCCTCCCTCCCTCCTCTTGTGCAGTCATGGTGAGGATGCATGCCAGTGTGCCGGATGTGCTCATAGGCGACCCCACCCGCGTGGGGCAGGTCATGCGAGAACTCATCAGTGAGTAATACCAACCCTATTGCTCTCTCTCATACCGTTTCTTGATCTGACTAAAAGATAGGCTTATAGGCGACCGCTACCCCATGCGAGTGGGGCAGGTCATGCGAGAACTCATCAGTGAGTGCACCATGACTGCACACAACCCTATTGCTCTTCTGAGATCCCATCCTTCACCTGTGGTGTGGTGTGCGCGCGCTGCTGTCTATCTGGTCGTAAGGCACCCACTTATTCCCCTCCCCCTCCTTTATCCCCCCCACCTTCCCCTTCCCTGCGCTTCCCTTCACCATTCCCTCCCCGTTCCCCCTTCCCCCAACATCCAGGCCACGCCATCCGCAACACCGTGTCAGGTCGGGTAATCCTCCACCTCTGGTGTGTGCCCGCTCCCGTGCCTGTCCAAGCCGTTGCCGAATCGACCGAACCTGACCTGGAGGCCTGGATCCAAGGCTTGGAGGTTAGGGGAGAGGACAAGGAGATTGAAGGAGGCGTAGCGGGGGGCGTGTACGGTGGTAAAGTGGCTGCTACTGCTGCTGCAAACGAGGATGCTTATATTGCGGATGAACGGCAAAGGGAGGAACTAGTGGCTCGGATGACGAGGTGTGGCAGTGCGGAATGCTGTGGTGCTGCGGCTAGGGATGCTGGTGGCAACAATGGTTCTAGTAGTGAGGATGCTACTAATGGGGTTGCTGCTGCTGGTCGCATTGGCTGTTTTGGCTGGAGACAGAGCAGCGGGCGGGAGATGGGCGGCAGCGGGCGGGAGATGGGCGGCAGGAGTGGATTATCAGATGACTGCTGCAAAGCGAGCTTCAGATACAGCCTGTCTCAGGTACTTGAGATACAACCTGTCTCAGGAACTTGAGATACAGCCTGTCTCAGGTACTTGAGATACAGCCTGTCTCAGGTACTTGAGATACAGCCTTTCTCAGGTACTTGAGATACAGCCTGTCTCAGGTACTTGAGATACAGCCTGTCCCAGGTACTTGAGATACAGCCTGTCTCAGGTACTTGAGATACAGCCTGTCTCAGGTACTTGAGATACAGCCTGTCTCAGGTACTTGAGATACAGCCTGTCTCAGGTACTTGAGATACAGCCTGTCCCAGGTACTTGAGATACAGCCTGTCCCAGGTACTTGAGATACAGCCTGTCTCAGGTACTTGAGAGATACAGCCTGTCCCAGGTACCCCCAATACAGCCTGTCTCAAGTTGATACAGTTGTTTAGGTACTTCGTGCTAACCAGTTCTACCTTTTGCTTGCTTACTTCCTCCCCGACCCACCCTGCCTCCCACTCCTCTCTCTTTCTCTCTCTCTCTCTCTCTCTCTCTCTCTCTCTCTCTCTCTCTCTCTCTCTCTCTCTCTCTCTCTCTCTCTCTCTCTCTCTCTCTCTCTCTCTCTCTCTCTCTCTCTCTCTCTCTCTCTCTCTCTCTCTCTCTCTCTCTCTCTCTCTCTCTCTCTCTCTCTCTCTCTCTCTCTCTCTCTCTCTCTCTCTCTCTCTCTCTCTCTCTCTCTCTCTCTCTCTCTCTCTCTCTCTCTCTCTCTCTCTCTCTCTCTCTCTCTCTCTCTCTCTCTCTCTCTCTCTCTCTCTCTCTCTCTCTCTCTCTCTCTCTCTCTCTCTCTCTCTCTCTCTCTCTCTCTCTCTCTCTCTCTCTCTCTCTCTCTCTCTCTCTCTCTCTCTCTCTCTCTCTCTCTCTCTCTCTCTCTCTCTCTCTCTCTCTCTCTCTCTCTCTCTCTCTCTCTCTCTCTCTCTCTCTCTCTCTCTCTCTCTCTCTCTCTCTCTCTCTCTCTCTCTCTCTCTCTCTCTCTCTCTCTCTCTCTCTCTCTCTCTCTCTCTCTCTCTCTCTCTCTCTCTCTCTCTCTCTCTCTCTCTCTCTCTCTCTCTCTCTCTCTCTCTCTCTCTCTCTCTCTCTCTCTCTCTCTCTCTCTCTCTCTCTCTGCCCTCTCTCTCTCCCCCCTGCAGGACGATCCTCGCTTCTCTGATTCGCCAGTAGCTGGGGTCATGTGCTCCTGTACCCAACCGCACTCCAGTCACCCTGGTCAACCCGGTCAACCCGGTCAACCAGGTCAATCCACATGTGCCATGGAAGCTTTCCCAGCTGATCCCAGGCTCGGCAACGAGCCTGACTCGTTCCCTGAGCCCGAGCCCTGGATGCTTCACCCACCCATCCCACACCCCCTCACCGCCGAGGCTTGCCGCGAGGTTCGGCGGTCGGCAGCTCGTTTCTGCCAACCCATGATCTTCGCTTCGGCCGTGGCTGAAACGGACGGAGAAGAGGAGGAGGAGGAAGGATCAGGGGGCGGGAGAGGCGGGGGGACGGGGCGAAGGAGTGAGGGGGGGAAGGGGATGAGGAGGAGGGGGAGGAGGAGGGGTATGGGGCGAGTTCAGCTTGTGATGGCGTGTGAGGATACGGGGTGTGGCATTCCGTGGGAGGAGATGCGGTGGGTGCTGGACCCTGAAGGCCATGGGGAGTTTGTGCAAGAGGAGGAGGTGAGTGGCAGCAGGTAGCATGGGTTCTTGCGACGTGATAAAAGTGTAGTTTTGAGACGTCTCACCACTACTCTCGCTCCCTTTTGCCCCACGCTCGCTCCTTTCTCACTGCTTCCCCCATACCCTCCTTTCTCCTTTTCCTTTGTTGCTGCGCTCCTCCTCCTTCCCCCTCCCCCCCCCTTGGTACGCTCCAGATGAATTCATGCGTGCAGAATTTGAGGCACCTCAAAAGTCACCTCCCCCTCCACTCCTCGTCCCTCCCCTTCACCGTTGTCTCGGAATCAGATGAATGCATACATGCAACCAGCAGGAGCTGCCAGCAGTAAACTTTTTAGTCAATTCAACCGCCCCTAACCCCTCCCCCCTTCTTCCTCTCTTCCCCCTCCTTTCCTGTCTCCCTCTCAGATAAATGCATACATCCAGCCAGCTGGTGCCGACAGCAGTAACGTTTCAGTCAATTCAACCCCCCCTAACCCCTCCCCCCTTCTTCCTTTCTTCCTCTCGTCCCCCTCCCTTCCTGTCTCTCTCTCAGATGAATGCATACATCCAGCCAGCTGGTGCCGACAGCAGTGCTAGCGCCACCACACATGCGCCCACCAAGCACACTTCCGCCTCCACTGCCTTCTCCTCCCTCCTGACCTCGCTGCCGGGGAGGCTGCTCAGGCGTGTGATGGGCGCAGGGGATGACAGTGCGTCGGGGAATGCGCGCGGTGGCAAGGGGTTTCAGGACGCGTGGACGCCTTATCCTGTGCGCTTCCTGCTGTCTGCGAGCCTGGTGAGTGGTGGGATGCTGAGGGCAGGTCCCAAGGGGAGTGCTGAGGGGACGCGTGGACGCCGTACCCTGTGCGCTTCTTTCTGTCTGCAAATGTGGCGAGCGATTGGGGTGAGTAGAAGGAGGGCATGGGCGTGGGCACACAGGTGTTTAATCCGCCCCCCACCTTGCCTTCCTTCCTTGCTCCTCACTTCCCACTTTCCCCCTTCACTTTCCCCCTTCACTTTCCCCCTTCACTTTCCCCCTTCACTTTCCCCCTTCACTTTCCCCCTCCACTTTCCCCCTTCACTTTCCCCCTTCACTTTCCCCCTTCACTTTCGGCTCTCTCCTAACCCAGGTGAGCCTCATGCGCGGGTGCATGGGTACGGCCATCCAGGCGTCTGTTTCTCTCAATTCTTCCTCCCACCCTCCCCCTTTGTTGCCCTCCTCTTTCTGCTTTTCCATCGTCCCAGGTGAGCCTCATGCGCGGGTGCATGGGTACGGCCATCCAGGCGTCTGTTTCTCTCAATTCTTCCTCCCACCCTCCCCCTTTGTTGCCCTCCTCTTTCTGCTTTTCCATCGTCCCAGGTGAGCCTCATGCGCGGGTGCATGGGTACGGCCATCCAGGCGTCTGTTTCTCTCAATTCTTCCTCCCACCCTCCCCCTTTGTTGCCCTCCTCTTTCTGCTTTTCCATCGTCCCAGGTGAGCCTCATGCGCGGGTGCATGGGTACGGCCATCCAGGCGTCTGTTTCTCTCAATTCTTTCTCCCACCCTCCCCCTTTGTTGCCCTCCTCTTTCTGCTTTTCCATCGTCCCAGGTGAGCCTCATGCGCGGGTGCATGGGCGTGGCCACACAGGACCACGTGGGCTCCACCATCATGGTCGCCCTGCCAATGAAAGCGCGCCACGTGGCACCACCCACAGGAGCAGCAGTCGGGGAGGATGAGGAAGGGGAGGGGGAGGGAGAGGAGGAAGGGGAGGAGGAGGAGGGGATGGAGGAGGGGATGGAGGAGGCTATGGTATGGGTGGACATGAAGTGGGCCACGAGGGAGGTGGTGGAGGGGAAGCGGGCGCTCGTGGTGGATGGGGATGGCGTGAGGGCAGAGGTGAGTGAGCGTGATAAGGGCTGAGGGGCAGAGGTGAGTGTTTCTCATTAGATCTTTGTAAGTCTTGATACGTCTCAAAAATGTCGCACCTTTGAGCTCCATTGCAGCCTTCCTTCCCTCTTCCTCTCATCGTCCTTCCCTCTTCCTCTCATCTTCCTTCCCTGACCACAATCATCGTCCTTCCCTGACCACAGTCATAGCCCTTTTCATTACCCATGCACGAGTGCTGCTGTCGCATCATGCGAGCTGGTTTTTGAGAATTCTCAAATTACCCACGCACGAGTGCTGCTGTCGCATCATGCGACTCGCAGGCACACTCAGCCTTACTTCATCTACTCTCCTCTCCTGCTTCTCAACCTCGCTCTCTTGCTCTCCATCCCTTTCCCTCTCTCTGCTCTCCTCCCCCCTCCCACCTCACACAGGCCACAATCACAGCCCTTAGGTACCTAGGCGTGCAAGCTGCTGTTGCAGGCACACACGAGGAAGCCACGCGGAAGATTCTGGGACGGCAGCCGGAAGCTGCGTGGCGGTTTGCAGAGAAGAGGATGGGAGAGGCGAGGAGGAGGGCGAGGAGGGGCAAGGGCAAGGGGAAGGGGGAGGGAGCGGGGGAGGGGAAGGGGAGGGGACAGCGGGACGGAGTAGGGGAGGGAAGGGACGAAGGGGAGGCGAAGGGGGAGGAAGTGGGGCAGAGCAGGAAGAATGAGGAGGAAGAGAAGGAACAACAGGAAGAGCAGGAAGAACAGGTGCAGCAAGAGGAACAGGAAGAGGAAGAAGAGGAGGAGATGGAGGGACCATGGGACGTTGTGTTTGTTGAAGCAGATGCTTTCAGCAGTGGTGGAAACCCCAAGCCACGGATCAGCAGCAGCACCGATGTGGGAGCGCAGGGCAAGCCCGCGAACGGCTCAGATGCTGCGGCGAGCAAGTCGGGGATCGGTTTTGGCCGTCGGATCAAGTTTGACCACCGCAGCCTCGTTCTCTTCCACTCCGCTAGTGCCGCTGCCCGTGCTCCCGTTTCCCCACCTCTCCCCGCCTCTATCCCTCTCCCTGCGGGTCTATCCCATGCAACCAACAGCGTTGTGGCAACAGCAACAACATCTCTATCGTCCATAGCAGCACCACCATCACCACCACCATCAGCAGCACCACCATCACCACCACCATCAGCAGCATCACCGCTACCATCGCCGCCGCTATCACCCCCGCAGCCACCTCCTGTGCCGTGCAGTCTCCCCCCGCTGGTGCTAACAGGGCCGGGCTGTGCGGGTGTGAGCTACGCCAGAGCGCTCGCAGCAGGCTTTGCCGACACGCTCCCCCAGCCCTGCCTTGTTGCCGACCTTGCTCAGTGCCTGCACGCGGTGAGTCCCTTGATTGCCCGAGTCACCTCGTGTGCCTTGTCGCTGGCGGTGGCTTTGCCGATACCCTCCCCCAGCTGTGCCTCGTGGCTGACCTCGCCCAGTGCGTGCATGCGGTGAGTGCTCCTTTCAGAGGGTGCTTTCACTCGGTGAGTGCTTTCACTGGTCATTGGCCAACGCTACGCCAGGGCGCTCGCTGGCGGTGGCTTTGCCGATACCCTCCCCCAGCTGTGCCTCGTGGCTGACCTCGCCCAGTGCCTGCATGCTGTGAGTTTCCTTGGTTGATGCACTGAGTGCCGCTGCGAGCACCATGCATGCAGTCTGCAGTTTTGAGACGTCTCAAAACTAGATTACTATCACGCGGGTTCCTTGGTTGATGCACTGAGTGCCACTGCGAGCGCCATGCGTGCAGTCTCTCCCGATGCTTGCTAGCCACGAGCTTTGGTGATTGTATACTGTCAGTTTGCATTCCTTTCCTCCTCTCACCAACCCTCCTTTATCCCCCACTTCTCCCTGCATTGCCCTCCTCTCCTCTCCTCTCCTCTCCTCTCCTCTCCTCTCCTCTCTCCTCCTGCCCATTTTTCAGCTCTTTGCCCCCATCGACCAATCAGACAACCTTTCCGACACCTCCACCAATCACGTCGCGCCAGCCGACCCCTCCGCCGTCTCCTCCCTCGCCCCCTCCACCCCTCCACGCCCCAAGTCCCCGCAATTCCGCTCCAAAGCCGCGCTCGGCCTCGTGAAACCCGAAGACGCTGCCGCTTTGCTGAAAGAAATGCTTAGCGGGCGGGAGGTGATGGTGGTGGATGACAACGCGGTGAACCGGATGGTGGCGAGGAAGACTCTGCAGGGGCTGGGGGCGAAGGTGGAGCTTGTGGGGAGTGGAGAGAAGGCACTGGAAAGATTGAGCTTAAGCTCCCCAAATGCATTTGCCATGTTGCTGATCGACCTGCACATGCCGCCTGGCATTGACGGGTAAGAATAGCCTTGTTCAGAGTGTAGACTCTGCAGGGGCTGGGGGCGAAGGTGGAGCTTGTGGAGAGCAGGGAGAAGGCATTGGAGAGACTAAGTAGCCCGAATGTATTTGCCGTGCTTCTGATTGACCTGCACATGGCCCCGGGCATCGACGGGTAAGTGTTATCTGAAGCGCCTCAATCTAAATTTCTCACACCACACCCATGCACACAGGTGGTTGCCTCTTCCGTCATCCACCATTTGGTCTCCCCTCCTCTGGTCGCCCTCCTAACACCTTTGGCCACTGTTCCTGTGATGCATGAGTAAACTGGAATCACTTTTGAGAAGTATGCTAGTATGGTCTCCAGATGATTATTAAGGCTACTCAAGAATCAGATTTCAATCTCTCGCTTACGCGGCCCTTACCCTCCACCCCTGTCACCCACCCACAGGTACGAGACTGCTCGGCGAATTCGCGCCCTGTTCCCAGCAGATACTGCAGCACCCGCTGCTGCAACCACCACCGCCACCTCAAGCACCAGCTGCAGCAGCGGTGGCAGCGGTGGCAGTGGCAGCACCACCGTCACCTTCTCCTCTTCCACTCTTTCCTCTGTGCTGAAGCTTCAATCCCAGCCGTCGTTTGCCTTCCACCCTGGCGGCCTGCCATTGCTGAATCTTGACGCTCCAGGAGAGGCTGATGCCACAGCAGGTGCAGCAGGAACAGCAACAGAGTCTACAGCAGCAACAGCAGCAGCGGTAGCAGAGGCACCTAGCCCGGCACACAGGCAGCTGATATTTGCACTGACAGCGGATGTGGACACGCGGGTTCGGCAGGCGTGCAAGGAAGCGGGCATGGATGGCACTCTCTCCAAGCCCATCGCCCACCAAGAGCTGCTTTCGGCGATCAAAGCAGCTGGAGTCACTCTGCTGTGATCCGTAGAAGCAACTTGAGGCGCCTCAAACATTGGGTTCGGCAGGCTTGCAAGGAGGCGGGCATGGATGGAACTCTCTCCAAGCCCAGTTTTGAGACGTCTCAAAAGGCGGCACTGTCTCCAAGCCCATCGCCTACCAAGAATTGCTCTCCGCCATCAAAGCAGCCTGGGTGGCACTAACGCGATCCATTCAAGCTGCAGCAGTGTTGAGCTGTCCTGCTGTGAACTGCAACTGCTGCTGCTGTGCTCGTACCACTTCGATGCAAATCAACAAGTGTGAACAGTCACAGCCACTCCTGCTGCTTCTGCTACTTTACAAGACCCTAAATCAGGCGTCAGCAACTGACTGATTGTCTGATTGATTACGGGCACAGAGGAGGTGCATGGTAATAAGGTAGCATGCCCGCGCAGAAGCAGGCATGGGTGGGTGGTGCTCGGTTCAGCCCCATCTTTTGCTAAGTTCTGCTGTTTCGTCATCTTTCTGGCGCCTCAAAAGCTGCTCCAACCAACTGTGTCTCGTGCTGTTCACTGTCAGAGCAGTGCATGTCAGTGAAAGCTCCAAGGGGTCGTGCAGTGCAGGTTTTTGGCATGGACGCCTTCCACGAGGAATCCTGCACTGACTCTGATTCTGAGGTGTAGATGGGCATTATTTTGAGGCGCCTAAGAAACAGAACTCACGAGGAATCATGCACTGACTCTGATTCTGAGGTGTAGATGGGCATGGATACAGGGAGGCATGGAATTTTTTTCATTTATTCCTGATGTGCCGTTGTGGAAGGTTCACAAAGAGCTGCTGGAAATTCCTGCAGTCATTGCATGGGCATCTCTTGTGTGATAACAATTATCTGGTCTGTTTTATAACATAACCCTTCTTACATCTTGAATGTCCTGAGATCACCATCGATTGGTCTAAGTGTAGCGCTGTTCTTCATGTCCGCGTGTTTGGCTGAATGACGTTCTTCCTACTGTATTCTTTCTGTTCACATTTCGTCTCTTGCCCCAACCTCTCGAGGACTTGGCCTTTCGCCATTGGTCCGATAACGCGGTCCCGAAATTCAGCCCCTTCTGCAAAATCGAGCAGATATCGACCAATAGGCTCCAAATGACACGAGGGGATCCACCCGACCCTATCCAATCGGCCTGAACTAGGACAGTACACTCGTGTATTCACGGGGCATCATGTACAGTAGCAGCTGGTTCCATTCCGCACCTGATTTTGACGCGGATGCCGATGGTCCCATGTGATGAACAGTCCTCATTATTATTGCGAGAGCTGTGTTTATGCCGGTCTGTCGATGCAGCATTTCTATATCTAGACAAGTTTCTATGGCAAGCATATTGGTAAACAATTTGGCTCAAAATTTTCAAATTTCCAATAACTGGTTTTGCTTGTGAATGAAATTCAGTTAAGAAAAGTTTGAACATTCGGATGCAACAACACAGGATGGGTTGGTCTGCAGCGCATGCTGAGACCGAAATGATTGCGCTCTACATGGTCGCGCACCACGACGAACCATGCTACTTGGTTGCCCCGTTGCTTCCGCAAGCATGCGCAGACAGCGCATCGTTTTACACGTATCGATCTGTTCAACGGCTGTGTGTGATGGCTTCAATCCGCATCGGATCAGAGTGGTTTTTCTTTAGCAGAGCAGAGAGGCCGAGCCAAGGACAACAAGGCAAGAACGCGCAGCGGAAGGACTCGAAGCAGGGGCATGTTGTTGAGATAGATTCTCCTAAAAACCGTTCGACAACGCATAAAACCTCATCAAACCGCATTTTCGTTGTATCTCATGCCCCTCCCGTCTTTTCGGTGGGTGAGGTCCCGCCCTGCCCTCGCACCTGAACATTTCCCGCCACCATGCCAAGTCAGCCGTTCAACCCGACCCGAATGCATCCGTCCCAACCAATTTGGTCCAACAGAAGCACTCGCAGTCCCCGGGATTGTGCAGCGACGTGCTCGTAGATATGCTCCTTAGCATCGATAAGATTTTGTTTTTCCCCGCGGCTGTTCTATCTGACTCCAAGAAGCCTTTTCCTTGCTGGACGCGTCTACCTCTCGCTTTCACTAAATCCATGGCCGCGACACAACTAGGTGATACTGCGAAACATGCCCGTCGAGGAACTTCGTCTTCGCGATGTAATCTTCCTTCTTCTGATTTTAGTAATGGAACGGTCGCAGCGGCTTTACTTTCGCGGACAATGTGTGATCTCCAAACCTCGGGAAGCCGCGCTATGAGTCATGGCGGCGGCGTTGCTCCGATGGCAGAGCTCGATTGCTCGCAGGCGTCAAACCTGACGATCATGGGCTCATCGAGCGCGATGGCGACGACCCCCGCTCAATGCGGCGAAGCGTGTTTCGAGGCGACTCAAAAGGCGTCGAGCATGGCGAACATGGGCTCATCAATCGCTACGGCGACGACCCCCGCTCGTTGCGACGAAGCGTCCTCTGCGAGGCTCGCTTGTTTGGAGGCACAGAAGGCGTGCAGCCCTGTCTGGATCGACGACGCGCGCTCGAGGATACGGCAAGCTGCTTTGGCCGTGCTCGAGACGCAGCAGCAGTCTCAGCACCTCGCGTCTATTGTGGACGACCACATGCTTTTAGACGACCCAGAACCGCGCTGGACTGAGCATGAATGGAGCATGGGAAACGCAGACTACACTATGCCAGCGTTTTATGAGGACGACGAGGACTCACTGACGTTGGAGCCATTGAAAGGGCAAGTTATTCGGCCTTCTGAATCGTTACGTGGTGCTATTGTCAACTTTGTGAAGAGCTCTATTCATTTAATAATGTAGTGATATTTAGTAAGATAGTCATTGCAGATAGGATAGTACACCACTCCCTGTGTATATATAGATAGATAGGAAACACATTTGAACCGAATAAAGAGTGATGACAGCGTTTCAGGTTAGGCCAGAAAGTTGAACGGCTTGTTAAGTATAACAATTTTAGATGTTCAGGAGGACTCTTATTAAAGCCCAATACCTGAATTACAAAAAAAGGAAGGCAAACTGTGCACAGTTTGCCTACCGAACCCACAGTTGACCTCCCGAGCCAGGCTGGTTACCAGAAAACATTGCGCGAAGAAAAACGGAGTCGTAGAGCAGAACGGGTTTGGTTGGCAAGAGTCCCAACCACACCCTCCTGAAGGAACAAGGGCTCAAAATGTGCACAGTTTGACTTCTTCGGTAAATCAGGTCGTGTGATTTCCACAGTACGCGGAGCATGCGAAGAGATAGAATAAAACGCCACTAAAGCATAGGCCATGAGCATTTTCACCTTTATTCCTAGCCCTTTCCCAAACATCGCATTTGGACCTATCCCCTTCCGCGTCCCCCACGCTTCTCCCCACCGTCTCTCACACACCTCCCCACGCACACGCCCACTCTTCCCACCGTTGCCCAAGCTTTCCCCCACCGTCGCTCACGCTTCCCCTTACCGCCGCTCACGCTTCCTCCTTCCTTCCCCCACACCGTCGCTCACGCCTTTCCCCACCTTCCCTCACGTTTCCCCTCTTATCGCCCACGATTCCTCCCGCCGTCGCCCACGCTTCCCCACCGTGGCCCACGCTTCCCCCCACCGTCGCCCATGCTTCCCCCCACCGTCGCTTACGCTTCCCCCCACCGTCGCCCACGCTTCCCCCCACCGTCGCCACGCTTCCCCCCACCGTCGCCCACGCTTCCCCCCATTGTCGCCCACGCTTCCCCCCACCGTCGCCCACGCTTCTCCCCACCGTCGCCCACGCCACCGTCGCCCACCGCCACTGTCGCCCACGCTTGCCCTCCCATCGTCCTCGCTTAGCCTTCCCGCCGACCTCCCTTCTCTCCTCCCTCTCTCCGCGTCGTCATCACTCCCCTGCCCATCACGTTCCCCCTCTTCACCATCGCTTCTCTACCCATGCCGCCCACCCTCTCATCCCTTCCCATCGCGTGGGGTGTGGGAGGGTGCCGCGTGGTCAGCAGCACCCTTCCGTCGCATACACGTTCATTTCCCCTTCCCTCATCTCCCCATTCCTCATCTCCCCTTCCCTCATCTCCCCATTCCTCATCTCCCCATCCCTCATCTCCCCATCCCTCATCTCCTCATCCCTCACCTCCCCATCCCTCTCCTCCCCAGCCCTCTCCTCCCTAGCCCTCTCCTCCCCATCACACACCTCCCCATCCCTCATCTCCTCATCCCTCATCTCCCCATCCCTCATCTCCCCAATCCGCCTCACCCCATTCCGCCCCATCCCATTCCGCCCCACCCCTTTCTGCCCCACTCCATTCCACCCCACCCCTTTCTGCCCCACCCCATTCCGCCCCACCCCTTTCTGCCCCACCCCATTCCGCCATGCCATCCTACTTCTCATCCCCTTTTCCTCGTTTCCCCGTCCCTCCTTTCCCGATCCCATCATTCCCTCTGCCAACTTTCACCATTACACCATACGGTCATACCCCATCCCGCGACCTCCCCGTCACCTCCACCCCGTCCCCTCTCCTCCGTGCTTCTTCCCATCTTCCGCCTCGCCAAAAGGTTCGTTCTTCACCACCTCCGCTATCCATCCCTTTCTATACCCATCCCCTCCTCCCCGTCCATCCTATCCCCAACTCCTCCCCCTATCCCTCCTCTCGCGATCCCTCCTCTACCAAACCCATCGTTTTCTCATTCCCTCCTCTCCCCACCCCGTTCCTCCATGTCTCCCATCTACCGTACCTCACCTCCATCTGTTCCCCCCATCCTCCATCCTCGTTACCTCCCTGCCACCCTCTTTCCTCCCTGCCACCCTCTTTCCTCCCCACCCTCCTCTCCAGCCTCTCTTCCTCCCCTCCCTTTTGCTTCTCCCCCAAGCGTCCTCCCTACCTCCCTTCCTCCCATCATCACTTCCTCCCTTCCTTCATTCTTGCATTCCTCACTTCGTCCCTTCCTCCGTTCCTCCCTTCCTCATTTGCCAGTTGTCATTCTTTTGCATGCTTGCTTCCCTTATACTTCAGCCATGTCAAATCTGACTTCTTGGTTTGTGTTTGGACAGGTCTGCACTGCATCTGGTTGTGCATGTGCTGGCTGTCTGATAGTAACACAACGAATAGTCATGCCATGTATTGTATTATTTTTTATAATACAGGATTATCAGCCTCATAGCAGCCATACACACGACCAATGCCAAGGAGTTCAACAATAAATATATTACCGTATCTGTTAAGTAAGGGGAATCACCAGACTCGAGAAGGGAACAAAGCTAGGGGGTGTATGTGTAATGTTGCTTCCCGGTTTTGTCTGCTACACTGCAAGCAACAAACCAGGCCGTAAAGCCACATCTGGTGCTGGGCACCTGTAACTGCATTGGGGGGTATGGGGGTGAGTGAAGGGGGAAAGACAGTAAACGGAATGAGCAGAGGGGAAGAGAAGAAGCAGCGGGGGACAGATTGAACAGAGGGGAAGAGAGGAAGCAAGGGGGAACAGAGTGAGCAGAAGTAAAAAGAATGAGCAAGGGGGAAGAGAGTGAGCAGAGAAGAAGGGGAGGGAGCAAGGGAGAAACAGAGGGAGAAAGGGTGAGCAGGGAAGGCGATAGGGGGAAGCAGGGAAGGAGATGGGGGGAAGCATGGAAGGGGATGGGGGGGAGCAGGGAAGGGGATGGGGGGGAGCAGGGAAGCGGATGGGGGGATGCTGGGAGGGGGACGAGGGAAGGAGGGAAGGGGACGGGGGGAAGCAGGGAAGGGGAAGGGGGAAAGCAGGGAAGGGGATGGGGGGGAGCAGGGAAGGGGTTGGGGGGAAGCAGGGAAGGGGATGGGCAGAGGCAAGGGAGGGGACGAGGGGAAGCAGGGAAGGGGATGGGGGGAGCAAGTTGGAGGATGGGGGGAAGCAGCGCAGGGGATACATGGAAACAGGGAAGAAGGGAAGGGTGTATGTGCGGGTTGGAAAGGGGGCGTGACAAGTGTGCGAGATGGGAAGGGAGAAGGGAGGGATGGCGAGGGCAACGAGGAGTGGAAGGGAGGGCGACGGGGGGAGAGAGAGACAGGGATTGCGAGGGGACGAGCGCGTGACGAAGGGGGGAAACAGGCGGAAGGGAGGGAAAGAGAGCGTGAAGGGGGAAAGAGAGTGAGCAAGGGGAAAGAGAGTGAGCAGGGGGGGAAGAGAGTGAGCAGGGGGGGAGAGAGTGAGTATAGGAGTGAGTAGGGAAAACAGGGGCGAGCAGAGGGGGTAGGAGAGCGTGAAGGGGGAAAATGGGTGAGAAATGGGGAAAGTGGGGTTAGAACAAGGGGAGTGAGCAGAGGGAAAGAGAATGAGGAGGGGGGAAGCGAGTGAGCAGGGGGGAAGAGAGTGAGCAGGGGGAAAGAGATTGAGGAGGGGGGAAGCGAGTGAGCAGGGGGGAAGAGAGTGAGCAGGGGGAAATAGATTGAGGAGGGGGGAAGCGAGTGAGCAGCGGGGAAGAGAGTGAGCAGGAGAGTGAGCAGGAGAGTGTGAAAGGCAATGGGAGGGGAAGTGAAGGTGACGGGTGGGGAAGCGAGTGTGACGGGGGGGAAGCGATTGTGGCAGACGTGGAAGGCGACGGGAGGGGGAATCGAAGGCATCGGGGGAGAGAAGTGATGGCGACGGGAGGGGGGAGTGAAGGCGACGGGAGGGGGAAATGAAGGCGACGGGAGGGGGAAATGAAGGCGACGAGAGGGGGAAATGAAGGCGACGGGAGGGGAAGTGAAGGTGACGAGAGAGGGAAGTGAAGGTGACGGGAGGGGGAAATGAAGGCGACGGGAGGGGGAAATGAAGGAAATGAAGGCGACGAGAGGGGGAAGTAAAGGCGACGAGAGGGGGAAGTGAAGGCGACGGGAGGGGGAAATGAAGGCAACGGAAGAGGGGGGGGAGGGGGGGGGGGAGTGAAGGCGACAGGGGAGAAGTGAAGGCGACGGGCGGAGCGAAGGCGACAGGCACGCGACGAGCTGCGGAAGCGATGGCGACGACGCGGGCGAAAGAGAGCGGAAGCGTGAGAAAGGAAAGCGAGGGCGAGGAGAGGGTCACATTAGGGCGAACGGTTGCGATTCGATTTTCGCCACGAGTTTATGCTACGGAGTAGTTGCACAATAACCTGCATTTCGACACAATAATCTTCACCCAGCGAAAACTAGCTTTGCACGTCATCATTGAAATCCGCGCCACCCGAATTGTATGGCGCATCTGATCCCTTTTGAGTGAACGCCGTGTCAGACTTATATGACTTAGCCTATGTAGGCTATAGTGGGGTAGTACATATGGGGTACAACACATTTCTAGGGTTAGTACTTGTACCCAACTTTCCCTTAGTCATTCTCATTCCTCGTTTCTTATCACGCCGACGCCCTGCCCTGTCTCGAGGTATGGTCTATGCCTAATACTCTGCGTGCTATCTCAAACTGTGCACAGATTGATATGCTCGAGCTTTTCTGGTTGTGGGAAGGACACGAACCATCATGGGAAGCGAGAAACTTTTTTCGCGAGTGAAAGACTCCCAACCGAACCTCTCCGTGCCTGCCTCCCGAACCTAGTTTTTAGCGTTGACTTCCGTTGAGTAATTCAGGTCTTGGGCTTTAAAGGCAGAAGTTGTACAAGCAAGAGCAAGGATATATATATGCAGGAGTACAAGCAAGGTCAAGAGGTAAGCAAGTGAGGCCGAGTGGGCACAAGGCCTAGCAGAGTGCAAAAGCGCTGATGGTCACGAGGCGGAAGTGCCTTGGTGAACACATCAGCAGTGTTGGCCTCAGTGGCCACAAAACGCAGGCGAAGCTAACCACGCTGCTGCAGCTCTCGAGCAAGGAAGTAGCGCAGAGCAATGTGCTTCGTCCTGTGCTCCACTTTGTGCTCCTCACACAAGGCAATGGTTGCCTTGTTGTCGACGTACAGCACTGGAGGAGAACGAGGCCGCTCTCCAAGGTCAGTCAGCAGGTAGGTGAGCCAGCGAAGCTCCTGGGCAGCCATGGCCGTGGCGTAGATCTCAGCCTCACAGCTGGAGCTGAGAACCGAAGAAGAGCGAGTAGAGCGCCAAGAGACAGAGCCAGAGCCAAGACTGAAGGTGTAACCCTGAGACGACCTCTGAGTAGCCTGGTCGTCAGCCCAAGAAGCGTCTGAGTGCCCAGTGAGCACAGGCCGCTCACGCCCTCCAAGCACTAGCCCCATGCCCGACGCACTGCACAAGTAGCGCAACACCCTCTTAGCTGCATCCAAGTGCACCTTCCGGTGACGGCCGCGAGCAACATAGCGTGCTAAGATGCTGAGAGGGTATGCGAGGTCAGGTCGAGTGCAAGTCATCAGGTACATGAGGTAGCCCACAAGCTCTGGATACGGACCACTCGACTCTACGGACTCATCCGAAGGCAGAGCTGAGAGCGAGTGTCCCGTAGGCAGAGGAGTGGACTGAGGCGAGGAGTACGTGAAGCCGAAGCGCTGAAGGACCTGCTGCACCATGTGTGACTGAGTCAGGGTAATGGTGCGGCGTGCTCTGTCCCGGGTGATCCGCAAGCCAAGATAGCTTGTCAGTTCACCCAGGTCTGTGCACGTGTGTCTCTTCTGCAGCTCGGACTTCACGTGGGCGAGTGCGGCAGTGTCCGCAGTGGCAAAGACCAAGTCGTCGACGTACACGAGGATGTAGAACGGCGCCAGCGAGGTGTCGGTGCGCAGAAACAGCGACGGGTCAGCAGTAGAAGGAGCAAACCCAAGAGCCGCAAGTGTAGTCCTCAGTGTGTCGTGCCACTCACGTGGCGCCTGGCGAAGACCGTAGACTGGCCGCCGGAGGCTCCACTGGGTACCAGGAGGGAACGACCCAGTGAAGCCAGGAGGGCGGCGCAGCCAGATCTCCTCGTGCAGGCGGCCCTGCAGGAAAGCAGTGCTGAAGTCAAGAGAGTGTAGCTCGTAGTCACGCTGAGCAGCGACGTTCAGTAGAACCCGAAGAGTGGTCATCTTCGGGGTCGGGGAGAAGGTCTGAAAGAAGTCAACTCCCTGTCGCTGACTGAAGCCACGAGCCACGTAGCGCGCCTTGAAGACAGGCGGAGAACCCGGCGGCCGCTTCACCCTAAAGATCCACATGCCACTGACAATGTTCGCCCCAGGAGGGGGAACAGCGTCAACGTAGGTGCCTGTGGACTTCCAGGAAGCCATCTCTGTGTCCATGGCTGACTGCCACTGAGAGGAGTAGGGACCGGCCATAGCCTCTGCGTAAGAGCGTGGGGTCGGGATGTCTAGAGCATCCGGGTCTCCCTCAGGGGCAATAAGCATGGACACGAGATGGGGCAAAGCGGCGGCAAAGCACTGGAACTCCTCCTGCCTGTCCTCAAGGACGTCCGTGCCAAGAGCACAGTCACCCCCGACGGACGGAGGACAGGCAGACGCAGACGCAGCAGAAGCAGACTCAGCAGACTCAGCAACAAGACTGGCAGCGTAGTCCTGACGACACACAGCAGCAAAGTCGACCAGCTCAGCAACTAGGGCAGACGCAGCAGCGGACTCAAAGGAAGGGTCAGTGACAAGAGTAGCAAGAAGACGCGTGACAGTAGGACTGGCAGCACGGTGAGAGTCCGACTCCGGGTCGGCAAGAGTAGGAAGAGAAGACTGAGGAGGAGAAGGCAAAGGGGCACGCAGAGGAGCAGTGGATGGACGCAGAGACATCTGGTGCGTGCCAGGGACAGGAGGAGGACGCTGACGCGAACCGCGACCACTAGGGCGAGCAGCTCGGACTGGCGACACAGGGCGGGACGCAGGCTCACGACGCTCAGCAAGACCTCCAGTAGGACCAGCGTAGGGAGAAGGAGAAGGCAGAGGAGAGGTGGGCTGTAACTGTGACCGTGACGGGACAGGCTGCGGACACTCTACGGGAGGAGAAGGACCAGTGGAAGACGGGAGACCAAGAACCTGCTGAAGGAGCGGAACGAAGTACGGCCGAGGCCGCGCAGCACCGCCAGAGACAGCAGGGACAGGACCAACACCTCCAGAGGCAGCACTAGCACCAGTAGCAGCTCCAACTCCAGCACCACCAGCAGCTGCAGAAGTACCCGCAGTAGGACCGACAGTCGTAGCCTCAGTGCCAGCACCCGCAGCAGCTCCAGCTCCAGAGGCACCCCCGGGCCCGGTAGCTCCAGTACCCTCAGTACGAGCACCTCCGGGACCCCTGGTACCAGCTCCCTCGGCAGCAACGAAACCTCCAGCACCCGCAGTACCCCCGGCTCCAGCAGCTCGCCTCCAGTGCCGGGCAAACCACTCACGCAGCTCCAGAGGAGAGAGTGGCTCGCGGCGCGAAGAACGGTCTGGAGAACCACCAGGAACAGAAGCAGCAGGCGCAGCACTCCCAGACGCAGAACCCCCAGGCTCAGCACCCCCACGCACAGCACCCCCAGGCTCAGCACCCCCAGGCTCAGTACCCCCAGGCTCAGCACCCCCAGTCCCAGCACCCCCAGTCTCAGCACCCCCAGGCTCAGCACCCCCAGTCTCAGCACCCCCAGTCTCAGCACCCCGAGGCTCCGCACTCGCTGCAGCACCAGAGTCACCAGTGACCTCGACAGGCTCGACCGCGTCTACCTGAGACACACCTGAAGGGGCAGGACCCTGAGGGGGGAGGGGGTCTACCGGGGGGGGACCTGGGACCAGGAAGAGGGGCGGGGGGGGGAGGGACGGAGTGCGGTAGGGGAAGAGCCGGTAGAAGGGAACCGACTCGTCGAACGTGACGTCCTGGGAGGACAGAACACGACGAGAAGTGGGGTGGTAAAACTGCCACCCAGGTGCGTCAGGGGGGAAACCCAGGAAGACGCAAGGAGCAGCACGAGGGGACAGCTTGTCCGCAGACAAGTCGCGGACAAACGCCCGGGATCCCCAGACACGGAACGCTGACGCATCGCCAACCTTCCCCGTCCACAGCAAAGCTGGGGAGGTCTCCGGTCTGAAGACCCTGGGCTGAAGGTTGATCTGATGTGCGGCGTACCTCACCGCAAACGGCCACAAAAAATGGGGGGCAGCCGCATGCACCATGGACGTACGGGCGACGTCCATGACAATGCCGATGCGGCGCTCAGCAATCCCATTCTGCTGTGGAGAGTCCGGAAGCGTGAAGGTCTGGCGGATGCCTCGTGCCCGACAGTAGGCTCGCAGAAGGCCGGAGGAGAACTCTCCGCCTCTGTCCGAGTGCAGACGCAAAACAGGAAAGTCCGAGCCGAAGCTCCACCTGAGCTGGAGACGAGCTGCGCGGATCCAGTCGATCAACACCTCAGTGACATCACCCTTGCTGTGCAAGGGGAAGACTGTGGTGTAACGCGAGTAGTCGTCAACCACCAGCAGGAAGTAGCGCTCGTGACCCTGTCCACGGACGCGGGCTGGGCCCCACACGTCCATGTGAAGCGTCTGCATCGGGGCCTCCGTCGGAGGAAACGGGGAGGAGTGAGGGGTAGCCCGCGGGCGACCCTCGACACAGGGGTCACAGGGAGGGCCAGGCCCCGGAGGAAGGGGAGGGAGGGACCGCGGAAGGCCAGAGACAAGAAGGCGAGAGGCCATGCCCCGGAGACGAGGCAGGGAGGGGTGACCCATCCTGTGGTGCCACAGGAGGGTCTCGTGGGACAGGAGG